AGCAGATCATGCTGGATCCATCCCTGATTGATTAGATAGCAATACAACTGAGCTCTGTAGCCAACTTTTATATTGTTATTATTGTTATATTGTGTCAAAGTTCAATTTTTCTGTTTTCCAATTGGACAAAGGCGTATCACGTGCCGGTCCGCAAAACGTCGTGTTTACTGCGTTGCCCTGACAACGAGGCAACCAATCCATAATAGAACATTTATTGGACTGGTCCACAATAAAAGGGTGCAGTGCGCATGCGCGTCAACCGTGAATTTCCATTTTATTAAACATTTACGGCGTTCCATTTGTCTAGTTTTGGTTTCAAAGTTCACTCCAATAACCGGTGAATTATTCATACTTTGAAACTTACATACTATATAACAAAATACTTAGTACTTACAGAGACCTCGGGAAAGCAGTGTGTTTTGTGGCCCCTTCTGCAGAGGGCGAAACCAGCCCCTATTAATTAGGGGGTGTCTGGCAAAATTGCCCTCCAAAACCAATGATGCCCTGCAGCGCCAGCACTAATACAATACATCCACAGAGTAAGTAGGTACAGCAGAAGCGTGACTCAAGCAAGTATTTGTCCGCGTTTTTACAAGCGATTCGTCATCAATCACGCCATCCTGGCTAGTACAACCGGCACTTTGTACCTACCAAAACCTGACAAAAACTCCGGCTGTACTAGCCAGGATGGCGTGGATTGGCGTGAGCGAGTTAAAATTTTCGTGGACGTAAAACAATAAGGGAAACGACTAGAGTTACGCTTCTGCTGTATCTTCTTATTCTGTGACATCACTAAGCTACGCGTATAATTGAACTGCTGATACCAATGTACATGTGTACGAACTTGCTTATTGTTTGCTAGCTGTAATAAGTTACTTAATAACTTTACATTCTGCCATTTAAAATTGTACTCGTGATTCATTTATTTAATTTTATTGGAATTTTTCGCATTTTGATTGTTCTGTCAATCGGGATGATTCGCAACCTCGTTTCCAGGGCCTCTCCTTTTGTTCTTTGGCAGAGATCCTGGGTACGACGTTGAATGATTCGTATTTTTTTTTGGGGGGGGGTGGGGTACCACATACCCCCATACCCCCTTCAAGTTTCGTCCCTGCCCTTCTGAGAAGCTCGTTGAGGGAGAAGTTTATTAAATATCTATCTATCTAGATATCTATCTATCACAAACGTATGTTTTCACCGCCCGAAGGCCTGTTCATATGGGCAAAAGTTATCCCAGTTAGCGAGAAAACTTTTCGACAAGTTCACAAGCGAGATCTCGCCTTGGTATGAAAATAATATGAAAAGTTACACTGCGTTCATACGAGACAAAACGTTTCCCGTGTACCAAGATCTCGCTTGCTGACAGGCGAGATCTCGGTGACTGGGATAATGGTTTTCCCATATGAACACAACTTTCCCGCTTAGCGGGATAACGTTTCTCCATATGAACAGAACAAAAGTATTTGGCTAGTCGAAAAGTTTTCTCCTTAGTATAGGTAATCATGCGATGTTGCTCGTACATTTAGGGATTAATAGTACGAATGATGTTTGGAAATTTTGCCAATTTGTTTATTATTAAATAGCATGACAAAATTGGATACGTACTTCTCAATGTAAACATCATATATTCTCTCGTCAAAGCCCAGTCCTGCCAGACTTTCAACCAAAATTTGGTGCTTTTGTTCGTATTTTCATTTAGTTCTTTTGCTAAAGCAAAATTTAGTGCTTTTGTTCGTATTTTCATCTAGTTCCTCTAAGGCAATTTCATTTCACGTTTGTGTTTAAAATACCTTTCCGCCAGTTTGTTTGTTTTGGGAAAATCATTAATTGTACTGCAGTACAATTAATGAAATAATTGTACTTCTCTCAACCAATCAGCATCCAGTAATTTTGTCATGCTAATAATAAACAGGGATAACTTTTGCCCAAATGAACAGACCCTGAGTAGTGAGTGCATAACACCGGGAACAGAAAAAATCATGTTTTACGCCTTTAGACCAACTCCTGAGTATTCATGGAAACGAATTGATGTGTATGATAAAGAGCATGCAGTTGAAAATGGCGTAGACGGCATTACATTCGACGATCGTGATCCTCGATTACTGGTCATCAAATCTGCATCAAAAGATCATGCTGGTCAATATTTCTGTACCGCAACGATAGGAGATAAAAATGACACTGTTGAAGGATCTTTGACATTTGAAGGTATACAGTTTATTTCTTTACAGTTTTTTTCTTCTCTTTTAGGTTAAATTTTTTTATCTAGGCAAGAAGAACAAAATCCATCAGCACAGCTAGAAAGAGCATGTGAAAATTAGTAAAATTGCAAAGTTTGGCCGCGAAATGTCGTAAAATGCGGAAAATATATAGCCCTGCGAAATTTGCAAATTTTGTGTTAATTTGTATTACGCACGGGAAAATGCACCACTTTCGGTCCAAATGTGGTCGCAATATTGCAAAGTTGCTGGCAAGAGAATATCTGGTTTGATGGTATTCCACTGTAATCCTAATTTTAAATGTTCTTATTAAACAGTTCAACCTACTTGGATTGGTAAAAGTATCGAAGCTGTCAGTCCATCAGTTTATTCCAATCATTCTTGGACATGTAATGCTACAGGATTCCCAACACCCACATACGAGTGGTACAAAAATGGTGTTAAACTTGCTGGCAGGTAAGTTTAATAGATACAGTATCTCTCAAGCATATATAGGTACTTGTACATAGGTCTCAAACATATAGGTATATGTTATACCATGGATAATAAAATTTATTTTATTATCCATGGTTATACAAATAAGGCCACGCTTTTTGTTGTTGTTGGATTACGGATATCCCGACCTTGTATTTTTAAAAGGCAGAAAAAATATAAATGCCGCTTACCAGTTTTGATGTGTTGGGTTTTTTTCATCCGACCGTATTTTAGAAAGTATCAGTATATTTATTTTCCCAGCAAGACACTTATAAGTAATAGCATAAAAAGAGCGAATTAGCTATTAAAACGTCCCGCCCGATGAGGGTCGTTTAGTATAATTCCCTTGGGCACCGCTCGATGTTTACTAAATGACCCGAATCGAGCGGCGCCCAAGGGAATTTTACTAAACGACCCTCATCGGGCGGGACGTTTCAATAGCTAATTCGCTTCTTTTTATGCTATTACCTTATAATATCATGATTGCGGGTATTCCTGTTGTTCTCGCAGGGCCATTAAAAACCAATTAAAAATAAATAATGGTATAAATTAAATGGTATAATTGTTACCTCCGCCAGGAGGTTATGTAATCATCTGGGTTTGTTACCTCCGCCAGGAGGTTATGTAATCATCTGGGTTTGTATGTGTGTGTGTGTATGTGTGTGTGTATGTGTGTATGTGTGTGTGTGTGTGTGTGTGTGTGTGTGTGTGTTTGTCTGTGAGCACGATAACTCAAGAAATACCAAACATATCCGTACGAAATTTTTTGAATGCA